GCCATTTTTTACTTCCTAAGCACATTTCTTCCCAATTGACATTTTTCTAAAATTAAGAATTTTAAACTCAAGGTAAGTATTTCTGTGGCAATACAATGCCTTTATATAACTGTATGTTGATTTACTGCCACCTGGTGGCTGCTAACAAAACCTGAAGGCCAAGTAACCTGTGGACTTATTAGGCCTTTCATACTGGATTACAACGTTATTGCGATTTAACTGGGAGTACCATGGATAGGGGTCATTTGTAAATCAACCACAGAAAATAAAAAGCCTGTCTGAGATATCTCTATGTGTGTCTTTAACTAAAAGAATCAAAAAACAAACAAACAAACAAACAAAGACAATAAAACAGATACTGGAATAAATGTTTTCTGCTATAGAAGAAACCAGTATTGACTTAATAGTCAAAACTTTCCACCTGCTCCCAACATAGAAGCTCAAAAAGTAGATTTCCTTTGATGCTGATCAGAAAAAACAAAACTAAGTGTGGTATGCTTCTTACCAAGTGCAAGGTTTCTCGCACCACAAGTAAAATCACTAGTTCTCAGACCACAACCAAACCTGATATACTTAATCAGATTTGGATTAAGGATGCTCAATCTGAAGAGGAAACTAAAGTCATGGATATATAGAGAGTACATTATATCCTTTCTGACAGCTTTTACACAGTACTGTTAATAGTTACCTGTAGTGGGATCAGCAGTTAGCGTAATGGCTATGTCGCTGGACTCCCACGTAGTCGACCACAGTTCACGTCCTGGACCTTGTAGCTTAAAACTCACGCCGGGCACAGGTGCGTGCGTGCCCAAGATCCCGAGAGGAGAATGAAGGAGAAGGGATTGCGGCGTGGCCATCCCCCCTGGGGGGTGATTTCTCGCTTTCTGTCTCTCTGTCTCTGTCTGTCTGGCGAGCGCACGCACCCTATGGCAAAAACCTCTCCAAAAAAAAAGTTACCTGTACATTCATCTTATCTCAGCATCTAAAAAGTATAACATGTAAGTACTAAAATATGTATTGTTGTGACCTGCAAAGAGTAGGTTCTCAATAAACATGTTAGAATGCATGTCTTAAGTGACTAGTTCCATTTATTTCCTTACTTTTTTTTTTTTTAACTGCCAGAGGGTGTGTGCACTTGCAGAGGAAAGGAGAAAGAGACATCCCTCCCTATTGAGGCCTGGTCTTGCTATAATCCCATTTCTCCATTTCTCCATCCCATCAGGATTTGGGGGAATGAATTCCCTTGTGCTCAGCTTGTTTTTCAAGCTGACAGAGCTGGATTTGCACCACAGTCAGCCATGTGGTATCTGGTTCCCTAAACAATGGGCTTAACCACTACACTAGAAAATTGACCCTGTCTAGCTGCCTTTCTACTAACTACCCTATATCCCTAATCACAAATGTTAGAACCGTATCATAAGTGCCACAAA